TTAAGGGGTTTTAAGGCTTAGGGTTTCGGAGTAAGGTTTAGGGTGTCCTCGTGCGATTGCAGCACAGCGATGTCCAGCAGGCCCATGACCATCGAACACACCATACAGAGCCACACTTCCTGGCAGAAGGCATTACTGAGACGAGTGAAACCCGCGCTTGTCGGACGATTGTGCTGCAAACCAGCATACATTTCGTCATGATGCCATTATGAACGTTTGCACTGATTTGAACGGTTAGCTTGCTGATGAAAAGGTACCCGAAAGTGAGAACGGTTAGCTTGCTCATGAAAAGGTACCCATAAGTGAGAACGGTTAGCTAGCTGATGAAAAGGTACCCGTAAGTGTTAAGGCTGTATGTACAGTTGGATCTGCATTTGTCGTGGCCATCAGCGGCCGTAGTCGTAATCGTAGTCGTAGTCGTAGTCGTGGTCGTAGTCGTAGTCGTAGTCGTAGTCGTAGTCGTAGTCGTAGTCGTAGTAGTAGTAGTAGTAGTAGTAGTAGTAGTAGTAGTAGTAGTAGGAGTAGTAGTAGTAGTAGGAGTAGTAGTAGTAGTAGTAGGAGGAGGAGTAACTAGTAGTAACTAGTAGTAACTAGCAGATACTAGCAGTAGGTAACTAGCAGCAGCAGCAGCAGTAGCAGCAGCAGCAGCAGGAGTAGTAGTAGTAGTAGTAATAGTAGTAGTAGTAGTAGTAGTAGTAGAAGTAGTAGTAGTAGTAGTAGTAGAAGTAGTAGCAGTAGCAGTAGCAGTAGCAGCAGTAGTAACTAGCAGTAGTAACTAGCAGTAGTAACTAGGTAGTAGTAACTAGGTAGTAGTAGTAGTAGTAGTAGTAGTAGTAGTAGTAGTAGTAGTAGTAGTAGTAGTAGTAACTAGTAGTAGTAGTAGTAGTAGTAGTAGTAGTAGTAGTAGTAGTAACTAGTAGTAGTAGTAGTAGTAGTAGGAGTAGTAGTAGTAGTAGTAGTAGTAGTAGTAAGAGGAGGCGGAGGAGGAATATACTAGCAGTAGCACTAGCAGCAGCAGCAGTAGCAGCAGCTGCAGCAGCGGCGGCAGCGGCAGCGGCAGCGGCAGTGGTGTTGGTGGCGGTAGTGGTAGTGGTAGTGGTAGTGGTAGCGGTAGCGGTAGCGGTAGTGGTAGTGGTAGTGGTAGTGGTAGTCGCATCTCTTGCAAACAAGCGGTTGAAGAATGCATACGCTCTCAAGAACATGCACCTTGATCGCCCCAGGAGCACATCGCAAGCCTGGAATGAGGTGGGAGCGCAGTCCCTCAACCCTACACCTTAAACTCTAAACCCTGAACCCGAAGCACTCATGACATCTCAGGAGGATGTGACATGAAGCGCGATGGAGAGTTGTCGATGGCGACTGACTGCCTCTGCTATGCCTTCAGAAGGCTTTGTATTTTTGGTTACATACTATATATTGTATTCGAGTACATTTTATTGTATTATGCTATGCTATATAGTACAGTATCTTAGATGACAATCTACTATAGTTGCTGTCAAAGTCAAGGGACACTAAATCGTCTTGATTCGGCACTGTTGGATCTACTCGATGTCCACGGGCACAGACCTCACGAGCAAGGCAGCGTCGGCCCCTTCGTCTAACTTCAAACCGAACTCCCCCAATCCGTACAAGAGCAACAAAAACGTAGTAATGACAGTCACATCAAGTAGAGCTGTTGAATGTCACCGAAGACCTAATCTAGCGGTGCAACTACTTCAGAAGCTGCGGACCGGACGCAAGCGACGTGAGAGGCGGCAAGGCGGGACATAGCGTCTCCTCACTTCGCGAATTGGGCTCGCTCTCAACTGTACCACTGCACTTACGTGGCGCTTCCCTCTCGCAGTTTTGTACGGGCCTGGGAAGCACGTCACCGTCTTCCTGAGGGTGTCTGCCGTCTCGTCGCCGGGAACCTGGCCCTGCACCACGAACCTCATCTGACACATCATGTCCTACTATGCCACACTATACCATTCTCACCACTAGGACACTGCATTGAACTCGGTGAAGATCAAGAGCTAAGGGGTTCAGCGCTCGAGCCACGCAGTGGACACTTCGACGTGCTCTGAGGTGCCAACTCCCAAAGATGATCCGAACTCAGTGCACCCGTGACATATTGCTTGAGACCATGGAAGACAGTTCTGGGGTAAAGTTCGGGTAAAGTGCCTGAAAGCCGGGTCCCCGGGCCCCTCATCTTCCCTCTGGCCCTCGTCGGCAGGAGGGGAAGACCTTGATGGATTAAGAGCTGGAATGAGAGTGCAAATGCAGCAAAAGCCCTCCACCATGGCCACCGAGATGCACTGAGCCCACACTGACCACAACGGACAGGCAGACCAACAGACAGGCTGGCAGACACACTCAGAAGGTTCGCACAGTGTAGCATTGCGTAATGTCACTCACGCAGTCACTCAGTCGCTCTTTCTTTCTTTCTTTGGGGCATGGAGGGGATCCCTCCGCGCGATTGCGCGGCCCGGTCCTGCTTTGTCCCTGTGCTATCACCCACAAGCGGCTCATTGGCCACGCAGTCGCTCTCTCTCTCTCTCTCTCTCTCCTTCCTTCCTTCCTCCCTTCCTTCCTCCCTCCTGCTCACAATAACTCCGACCGGAGGCGTGCATACGCTCTCTCGCCCTCACGCTTCCTGCGCTCTCACCGTCTGGGCATTCAGTTGGAAGCCAAAGACTGTAAGACGGTAAAGGCGCCGGCAGTGAAGCTAAAGCATCTCCGGGTCCTCGAACGGAAGGAAAAGAAGTCTGAAACCAGGGAGTCTATCTGTCTATCTGGCAATTTTTGCAAATTCTGTCAATAGCTCACCCCGTGACCTCCGCGTTGCTCCGTGTCCAGGTCCACAGGAGTGACCTGGCGCTCAAGTCTACCACTGCTGGGCTTCTGCAGCGCAAGCACATGAAAGCCTTTGTCAGAGAAATCCGCGCCTTGTCCACGGCGTCAGACCGGTCCGGATCGCCACCACAAGATCCTGGCAAATGCTGTATCATGTGGTTTGAGATTCCGAGCCAGAAAGCACTACAGTAGACGCATTGCTGCTCCCTTGCTGATGTAGCCGTCACCAGCTAAGAACCCATTTGGGCCTTTGTTGGGCTCTAAAGCTGGATAACTTGCGCGCCTGAAACAGCGCGGACGCTGTCACCCCCAGCAACGTCGCCCCCGCCGCCCTGACAAAGGACGCCATATACCGCAACATCCCAACAACAGCCACTTTATCGCTACAACTGCCGTTGATTCCTGATCTTTCGCAGAAGTTCACCGAGTACCCAGCTTTTTTAGGGGAATCCTGTGCTTGCGCAAGACGCGACTTCTCCTCCACACACTCTTCAGCCTGGGCTTTTTGGAGTGCAGAGAAGTGCAACATATGCCACCGCACCACGAATGCACCTCAATCACTCAAGTCCACCGAATATAGGGGTCGGAATAATTCCTAATAATATTCCCTGATGGTCCCTTTGTAATTCTACGATCATAACCCCCAAAACTTTCGAATTCTTCAGGCCCCTATATTTAGCCTGCAATGATCTTACGCTTTCGCAAAGAAGCCTCCTCTGGGATCGGCATGCTCGTGATGTGGTTTCCATTCAGCAGCCGTTGGTGCACATCCTGCTCACCGGAGCAGAACACCAAAGCCTATAATTTTTCTTCACACGTGAAGCTGGCACCCTCTACTGCACCTATCATAGCGACGATCTTGGAAAGACTCTGACTCACAGGTCTGCGGTGTTGTAGCAGGATCTCACCCAAATCGCAGGACACGGCGAACGACAACCAGCGCGCGGAAGGGAGACGCGCTGAATATTTCTCAGAACCAACTCGTGTGTTTGGCAGTTGTGAATCAAGGAGTCTGGCCCCTGGTTGTCGACAGACGAGAAAAACCAGGGCTTCACCGACAGCGGTCACGAGTCTAAATCACTATGGTGGAGGTATCACGGAAGTGTCGAGCGGTTGTAAGATATCACCATCTCAGCCGGAGCTGCCTGTCCGTCAATCCTTTCAATTGCTTCGCAAAAGGGAATTCGCTGTGGAAATGAAGAAGTTGGCGGCCCAAAAGGAGAAAAAGATGAAACCCTTTACAAACCACGAATCCCAAGCCTGCAATCAACTATTCTGTCATTGTAAGCTGAGACCCACGGTGAGTTCGCCATCGGCCTGTGCCTGATGTGCCGGCTGCTCCACCTGCTCCGGCACCCGAGGTGCATGGGGCCGCGGGGACGGCCGCTTTGCCTTCGACTTCTACAAGGCGGGGTGGGGGGGGTGGAGGCGCAAGAGGCAAATTTGGATGCAACTTGGGTGAATTTGAGGGAGTAGGCTCAGAGCTTTGGGCCCCAGCGGCTCTCATGGCTCTTGGAGATTTTTTGGCGGGCTTGGGGCTGGGGCTGCAGTCGCTCCATGGACGGGCCATGTCCATGCTTGAACACGAGCTCCCCGCAATGTAGTCTTCCAAAGCGCGGGAGGTGGTCTGCGCCTCACGAAGTGCAACTACTTTTCAGATTTCAGAGGAACAAGGCAGGGATATCAAGAGCATGTTTCGGGTATCTTTAGAGTGTCTTAGGGCCTGTTAAGGGTTTTTTAAGGGGTTTTTGCGGGTTGTTTAAGGGTGTTTTAAGGGTGTTTTAAGGATTTTGATGTAGCCTGGCCTCTGCCAGCTGCCGCTGCAGCTTGCCAGCGAACAGCTCAAACTCCTTCAAAGTCAACAAGGGCTTGACATGGGCACTGCCAAGTCATGCACGGAGAATCGAGAATCCGAGAGAGAGAGAGAAAGGTCGTTCTCAAAAAAAACCCTAAAAGAAACCTTAACAAGCCCGGAAAAGATCCTAGACATGCCGAAAATCCCCGCCTTGTTCTGCTGTGGCCATTGCAAGGCCTCAAAGAGGACAGAGCGGACTGGAAGGATGCTCTGCACAAATCCCGCAATCTCACCTCCGCCTGTAGCTCCAGCGCCCGTTGAGCCTGTTGGGCAACATGATGGGCTTTCTTCATCAGACACAACTGGCCCTAACCTGCATCTACGGCGGCCCCCTCATTCGGAGCAACGCCAAAAGCAACCCCAAGGTCCCCAAGCAGTTTCTTCACAGGAAACTTCGGGGGACCTCTCAGGGCCACCACACCGCAAGGCGCGTTGCAGAGAGCATTCGGTGTTGACCACACGCTGCCCTGCTTACACTCCGCTTGCTGTCCCGATGCACGCGAAGCCACGGCCTCTCCAAGGGCATGCGATAGCCGCAGGAGGCCCTCCATCTGTTCTGCCTCAGTTCGGTGCTTCTGTCCCTAGGGGCACCTTCC